AAGTTGGAAGAAAAGTATTAACATCTACCTCTTAACGAGAATAAACATATTGAAGAAACGCTTTGTGAACTTATTGGTGAAAAGTCTTCGTTAAACTTTGAGCCAAATGTGCAATGAGGTAGAGGAAGACCATCAAGTAGAAATAAGAGAAAAGGAGTGAGTTCAACAATCAGAGATCCGTCACAGTTTGAAATTGTTGAAGCAAGGTTAAGACAAAGAACTCGTACACATGGAGAAGGTGGTAACCAGACAAGCCAAATTTCGGCAATTAACTTGAATGAAGATCAAATTTCAACTTTTGTAGGTGATAATGATCATTTGAGTTCTATTGATTTGAATCATCTCCCGGACTCGTGTGAAGAGATTCAGTGGAACTGAAATCCAATTTAAGGTATGCATTGTCAATATCTTTATATATTCTAGATGAAACATCAGAGTCATTGATTTATGTTTTTACTTTATTTATTTATTTGTCTATAAGATTGGCGATTGTTGCACTTTAAAAGGATGTCACTTTTGCTCAGTTTTTGTTGCAGGAATCTGTGTCATTTCTTAATATGAATTTTCTCATTTTTGTTTAGATATGACTTTTGTTGCTTCCAGTTTCTTTGGTTAGGTTTTTAATCTACATAGTAGTGATTTAATTATGTCTTATTCTCTATTATGTTTGCAGATCGAAACGAGTGAAAAATTTGATGGGCATCCTATTAAGCCAACTGGAAATAAAAGATTGTTCGACCTTGATTTGCCGTCATTGATGTCGTTAACTTTATGCAGCTTACGTGTTTTTACATTTCTTTTGTGCTACAAATACTTTTGGAAACAATAGGATAATGTTGCAACCCATCTACTATTATAATGGCTGAAACCATTTTGGTTATTTTTTTTTTTGGAATGTAAGAAACAATGAAGACTTATTTCTACTCAAGTACAGTGCAAAGATTGTAGTATTATAGTTGGAAAACTTATGCAGGGGAGGGAGAGCCAAAGAAAAGAAAAAAGTCTCTCCAATTTTTTATCAGTAACTCTCTAGCAGAGCCAGGACTTCAATACTTTAATCAACCGAGACAGATTAACCAAATATATAAACTAGGAGAATTCAGTGCACAACAACATTGAATCCACGCAAAGCAAAAAAAAAAAAAAGTTAGCCGTACTGCCACTCAGGATTGAATACATGATTCCTCACATTTGAACCTCTTGGAGTGCCCTTCCTGTAGAGAAGGACCAACAACTATCTCATTTTGGGCCACTTCTTGCTGTTGATCTCTGGTTTCTGGACCAGGAAGAGCAAGAACATTTGAGGTAGCAGAAGACTGTTGGGCGTTAACTTTACGGGTAGGTGCAGGTTGGTGCCTTTAAACCCTTGGTATTCAATATTCAGCTCGTGGCTGTCGCGAACCTTTTTGCTTTCGGCATCGGGAGGAGGGAATTGGCCGTGAAGCGGAGAGAATTATCCAGCTCGACATTTTCTTCATTTGAAAGTTGAAGTTCAGCAACATTTTATATATGTCCATTAATTCAACCAAGCACAATAATACACAATGAAAATCATAATACAGTCTCAAAGCAACTATAGCAGGATCTACATGTTGCATTCTCAGAGCAACTATTGCAGTATCTACATGGCAAAGCCACGCTCACAAGTCGCTGTAAAAATCATAGCATTTGGGACAACAAAAAGATCCTTAGCAGAACATTCAACAACATATTCTAAGGTATAAACGTATATCCAAAAACACAAGTGATAGACGGTCAAGCAAAACATGAAAGGGACTCCTAAAACGCATTCAAAGACAGTATTCCACTACTAAAACAAGGAATCACCTCCATCCATTTAAAGACATCAACTTTAACATTATATTTACAACTTCTGGCACTCAAATTGAATAATATCCAAAAATCAAAACTTGACGCCAGATTAACAACCAGATTTGAGTAAATTCAAAATAGAATTAAACAATTTGTACCAGAATTGACATAAAGCAGTTAGAACACCTAATCAACTCCATGACTAGAACCATATTTGACATAGGTAATTATAAAAAATTCGAATCTCAAAAAAAAAACCAGCAAACTACAAGAATTTTCTTTTTGGGCTAAAGACAAAGAAATTACCTCATCTTCTTCAGCCTCCTCCTCCTCGCCTTCAACTCCCTCAACCACCCTAATTTCCTCCTCTACCGTCATCTTCAAAAACTATAGTTCTCTAGAAAAATGATTCAAAGACTAAATTGGAAATTTACAAATAAAAGAAGATTTTCAGAATAATTATTTTGCCGGAGAGAGAAAGAAGAGTAGAAAAGCTCCCTAGTCTTCGCACAAAAGAGGAGCAGAAAATTTTCAATCATGCACAAAAGCTCCCTAGTCTTCGCACCATCCACTGGGGATCAATTCTTCTAGCTTAATAAATAGGATGTCTTCTCTTTGGCTTGCCTTTATCTTTCTCGGTGGGGATCAATTGAATGATGAACTTGGATATCTCATCAATTTCACATCAATTGACAATCGATCAAATGGCTGCAGAGTTATTACTCTCCCTAGTCTTCGCACCATCCACTGGGGATCAATTCTTCTAGCTTAACAAATAGGATGTCTTCTCTTTGGCTTGCCTTTATCTTTCTCGGTAGGGATCAATTGAATGATGAACTTGGATATCTCATTAATTTCACATCAATTGACAATTGATCAAATGGCCGCAGAGTTATTACTTTTTAAAATTTGATAAAAAAGATTCACCGTCTCAGTTATAATCTCAAGCTATACTTTACAAAAGATACAGCAAAACATAGGAGGAGAAGAGGTTGTTCTGGAGCCATGGAAGGAGAGAGAGAGAAAAATTAAGCGATGGATGAGGGAGAGAGGAAAATAAAAATGTTGACTTGACGAGGGTATTTTTGGAAAATATAATAAATTATGTACTGGATGCTAGAAATTGTTGTGGCAAAATCGCCAGCCTAAAATATTGATGTGATAAGTTTAGAGTTTATAAGGCTCTCTACACTATTTAGTAAGGTTCGTCATTCGGTATCTAAAATCATGTATGGCCACAGTTAATACGAGTTGGAGATGGCCAGGTCTATTTAAAGTAGCAAAATTTTTTAACAAGTCGGTTACAGCGAGTAGCTAGATATATTAAATTATTGTTTGATTCGATTCCGAAATAACAAATTTGTATGATTGATTTTGTTTGGTTCAACGGTATCTTTAATCAAGCAAATTAAGATGGCCAAATGTTATTTTAGTTATCCACGAAGATTGTGTAGAAATAGATGATCTAAAAGAGTTTGTTGGCTATTATCTGACAGGCCACACACAAAGAATACACAAATACGCTTTGCCTTTTTCATACTCAGATTTAATGCGTCGCAGGTTGCTGCAACATTGTCACGGTGATATTAAGAAACTCGTTTAAACCGACAAAACTTTAGAAAGAAGTTTAATTTGAAAATTATGTATTTGTCAAAGTGGAGTCCATGGTCAAAGTGAAGAACAACATCAATTTATTAATTGATAGTTTCAAATATGAAATGTCTTCTAGTTAAACCAAACAACGTCAACTACTCATAATTCCATTTAGTTTATCTTTTTAATCAAATTAAAACTATTCAATCAAAGATACTCACAGTAATTTGGTTAGCTAAGAGTTGCTTCCTCTTTCAAATTTAACATTTTATTTTGTTACAATGGTTTAGTTAAAAAACGTGACCCATTAGAATGGAAAGAAGGGAATATTGTCAACAAGCCCCGGCTCAAAAGCATAGCTAACGAGGTGCTTCTAGTTTGTTTTTCCCTGTCTTTATGAAACCAAAGGCTAGAATGCAATGTAATATGTCAATTAAAGTTGTGTTCTCCTCAACAATGTTCAATATTTAAATATTGGTCTACTCCAAAATTAAGTATCTGCAACAACCATACAACTGCCCCATGAGGCATTATTAATTAACTCCAACCCTTTGGCGTTTGTTTTATTATCTACAAAGTCTCCTGACTTCCATAGTCACTCAACACAACTCTTGATTTGATTTGTTACTTGTTATAAATCTTTATTCTAAGAGGGCTAGCTATTCTATTTCCATACCAAAAGTACAGGCAAAGAAATAGGTAACCTGTATGCATCAATGGCTTCTCCGTCCAGATTCCATGCTCGAAAAATGACACAAATATGCTCCCAATGTGGTGGTGTAGGCAAAACTATGGCTAGGTTTTAAGGGGAAGAAAGAAATATATTTCTCGCAATTGGCGAATGCGAAAAAACCAACTTCCGCATTCAACGAATGCGAAAATTTATTGAATTAATTACAATGTATTAAAGACGTTGGATTAAAATTGGATAATTATAATTATTATAAGTGTTTGCATATGTCATATGCGAAACTTAACCTTTCGCATATGTCATATGCGAAAATGAAGTTTTCGCATATGTCATATGCGAATGTTTTAATTTTTTATTTAAAAATTGTTTCTTAACTTTAAATTGGTATAAAATAAAATGTTGTAAATTAAATATTTTGGTTGATAAAATGTTGTAATATTTCAAAAAAAATTGCTATTTTAATTGAAAATTAAATTTTCTAAATTTAAAGTGTTCATTTGATTTAAGTAAATTTATGTTAGTTCTAAATAGAATTGCAATGCTATAAATTATATTTGGTGAACAGAAATCGTATAATGTATATATAATGAAATTTGAATAAGAAGTAAATAAAAATTTCAGTGAAAAATTAGAATATAATCTCGCCTTTTGTAACCAAGTTTGCTTTTAAAAAAATTGACTTTTATTTAGTTTCAATTTAAAAACTTACCATCATTAAAAATAAAATGTCAAAAAATCAAGTTTAGTAAATTTTGGATAATAATTTTTTTTACATAATAAAACTTAGAATCAATTCATTTAAAGTAAGGAAAAAAACTAAAACTTTCAGAATCTGACATAATATAAAGGAAAATGGCAAAAAAATATAATGTGGTCAATGGCCTCAGATCACATTCACACAGTACTACAATGAACACTGAACAAGAAAGTGCTTCAATAAAACGCTCTGAAGAGATTGTTTCCAAGAAGGCTCTTCCAGGTTGACGGTTGGCACTGACACCATCAGGAACAATAATGTTTTCTTGCTTCCATTTAACATAATCAGTCCTGCTAAACTTGATAAAACCACACTTCCTTCTAACAATGATCTTTTGGCGACCTGGAAACTTGAATTTGGCACGACGCAAAAGATAGTATTGTATAAAAGTAAGAGTTAAAAAAATTGTACATAATATTGTCTTTTTGATAAATTTTCTTCTTTAATGTTTGCCTTTTATTTTTTTTAATCTTAAAATTATTGTATCATTTTAAAAATTCAAAAAGCTCGTATTTACTAAAGATTAAATAAAACCGAAATAAATTGTTAATAAAAAAAAATGAAAGGCATTGTTTAAAACTAATAACAAAAGTCATAAAAAAGCATAAAATAAAAGTACAATTCAATCTAATTTTTTTACATCTTGCGCTTTTTTTTTCCAAGAATCTGTCATGCAGCACTTTTTCTTCTTCTTTATGTTCCGTTGTCCCTTACCCAAAGCAATCGGTGTAAAAGGCATGGTACCATTAGTAGGGCCCTGTCCCTGATCAGCACCCTCATCATGATCATGAGAGGAATGCTCAGCATCATCAGAATCATTGGTGCTCTCATCATCATGCTCCTGTTCCCGATTATCCTCATGATCCTGATCATCTTCCTGATCATTATGGATATGGTCACCGCCTAGATGCTGACTATGATGACCACCCTCGTAACTAGTCTCAAAGAAACCCCCCGCATTAGGATCTAGATTAATAAAACCTGAATCAAAATGCATTTGCTCAAATGGAGGAGAGGGATGGTGGTGTGGCGATGCTGGACGGTAAGGAGACACATGCTGGGTAGAAGATGGCCCGCCAGTATCCTGGGTGACCATAGGTTTTCTCATCCTCCGAAATAACACGACATAAAAATTAAAATAAACAAAGCATTATGAACTACAAAACACTTACCTAGTGGAGGAGGCGCCAGGAACAATGGCTGAAAAACGGGGAGAAAGCTGGGGAGGTAGGAGGCGCCGGCTTCAAGGGTGAAAACCGGGGGGAAAACCGACGGGGAGAGAGGTTTTGGAAGTTTTTGATCTGAAGTTGTTCACATTCACAGTATGCAAACTTTAGGAAAACCTAGATGACGCCACGTGGCGTGCCCTGGCCAGTTTCATAATTTTCGCATTCCCCTTATGCGAATACTCCACTATACGGGAGTCCAGTTCCTGGACTCCAATACAAATGTTAAGAAAACCCATATGACGGCACGTGACGCGCCCTAGACAGTTTCATATTTTTCGCATTCCCCTTATGCGAAATATTCATGGTCCCATCATCTGTTCGCTTTTGCCACGTGGCGCGACGAATGGGAGGCATGACTTGGTTCGCATTTCATACATGCGAACATATTTTAACTAGAGTCTAGGAATCACAACCTTTACTAATATTCTTTGAGGGTAGTCTTGTACTCCTGGACAGTCACAAAATTAACACTAGTACAAATTTAATATTTTTTAAACTATTACACAAATACAAATATAGACTTGAATATTGTTCGAATTATTACACAAACCAAAACCCAAATACAAATTCAGAATTCTTAGAATTATTACACAAATACAAACTCAGAATTGATCGAACCATTACACAAACACAAACACTACCAGAACCACCACTTAAAGATTATTCAGATTAATATGCAAACACAAGTTTTGAATTCCTACTCAGAATTCTAAAGATTGATCGTCCGAATCATCAGTCTGCATACGGGGTACACCATGCATTCCATATCGATCGTAAGCATGATTCAAAGGAGTCCTGTCTGAAGATGGATGTGAGAATGCGTAGTTGAACGTATCATGATCAAATCCTCCACATCGCGCGCAAACTTTCTCAACTACGCATGCACTGGCATTATGGCCTTCTTGATGACATCGACTGCAAACTTGAACTCTCTTGTTACAAGATTTTTTCGTATAATCCATAAGTCCTTTCTTTCGATTCACACGCTTCCGACCTGGGCCAGCATGGTGGACGAGTAATGTATCATCAGGCCTCAGCTGCCACGTCGCTTGTGGCCATGGTTGAAGGACTGGGTTGAATTCTCCAGAAAACTGAATAGCCATTGTTCCCTACTATAAAATGAATCAAAAAGGGGTAATGGATCATGACGTAAAAACCTGGCAATAGCAAGCGCATGGGAGCAAGGAAACCTGTATGTTTGCCACTTGTTTATTGTGCACATCCTGGCGGCGTAGCTTACCTCATGGATATTTCCACACTTCCATGGCCGATCAGGTGGTGAGTACGTGACCACTTGGTACTTCTGATTCCTCTTGCTGAATCTGGTAACCTCGTGACCCATCTGATGTATACGGTAATCGTCATACCGGTTCATGGGATTCATCACGAGGGGTGAATGGCATTTGTCAATTTCATCTATGTTTTCCTGAAAGAACTTGTTAGTCTTATACAATGTGGCAAGAATCAAAGTAGTGATAGGGAGCATCCGGCAACCTTTTAAGACATTATTAAAACTCTCGGATATGTTCGAAGTCATTTCTCCCCAATGATATCCCCCGTCCCAATAACGGGTACACTTCTCAAGACCGATTTGCTGAAGATATATGGCTACATCTCTATTTTTACTTTCTAAATTCATCCATTCTTTTTCAAACTTGCCTTTTTGCAACATTGAACAAGCCCTTTGACAAGGTCTTTTGAGTTTCTGCCCAGGAAAATTGCCAGCTAAATTTGCTTTGATGTGCTGCAGACAATAATGCTGCACTCCCATCCCTGGAAATTTATCAAGAATAACAGCCATAGCAGCAAGAATACCTATATGGCGATCAGAGATAATGCAGGTCTCCTTGTCAAGTAGAACAAATTTTTTCAGGTATTTAAGGAACCATTTCCTGCTGTGCAATGTCTCTTTATCCACGAGGGCAAACGTGATGGGAACAATTGTGTTATTCGAGCACTTCACACATGCCATGATCAATGTTGCTTTGTATGAACCTGGAGGTGGGTGGCATCAACGGTTATGACTGGCCAAGCAGCTCTAAATAAATGTATAGCTGGCCCAAATGCCCAAAAAATGTACCTGCATACCTTCTTCTTCCAATTCTTGGTATCTTTAGTGAACTTAAACTGCATACGGGTATGTGGGTTCGCTCTGAGCAATGCTTCTCGAAAACTGGGCAGTTGTTGAAAGTTGCTTCCCCATGTGCCATACAGACTCTCAAGTGCTTTTCTTTGACCATGCCATGCCTTTTTGTAATTGGGGGTGACCCTGTATCTCTTATTTACTTCGACTTGGATCTGCGCGACTGAATAACCTGGATCTTTTCGGACATTGGCTGTGATCAATCGAGCAATCATTGTGGACGTCAAGTTTCGAGTTTCGTTTCTTGTGGTTGCACCATGACAGTTGTGGCTCTCGATCCATACCACCATTATCCAAGTATTTGTGTCTTTTTGTAGGGTAGCTCGACATTTCCACAAGCAAGTAGTGCCAGGGAGAAGTTCTTCTGGGTACTTCGGCCCTTTAGTCTCGCATTGATTGGCCCACGTATAGGGACGGCTATATTTTACCCAACATGCCCGACCCTGTCGCAATGACCATTCCCCCACAGTTGTTTGTACCTCTTTCTTGTTAGCAAAATGTACACCATGTCTAACCGTCTGCCAATTACCGTCCCACATTGTGATCCCATCAGAATCCTCATCCAGTTCAGACTTGTCCATGTCATTGATGTTGTCAAAAATAGAAGGTTACTACTGAAGATGCGTCATGGTCACTGTACCATCATACTGACCAACACCACTACTTCCTGCACCATCATACTGACCACCACTAGTTCCTTCCCCCAACATCTTGAACAGGTTCATCTGCAACCTCTACGTACAATGTTGGACGCAAATGGGCACCTCGGTAAATCCATGGCATTGACTCGTCGTCTCTTATGGGCGCTTGCCCCCTTCTGCCGTACTCATCTGTGCAGACTAAAACATATTGCAGAGGAAGTATTTTTGGTTCTCAGATTCCAATAGCCTGTGTACATAATTATCAAGTTCAGAGAAACTCCACACTCGATCGATACGAACTGTTGCATCGGGCATAAATAACTTATCCCCATCTCCCCAACAAGATCGATCACTAGACCAGAATATATTCATATCAAAGGGACCCGGAAAAGACATATTAAGGGCCTGTACATTTAATTTTTATTCAATTAAACATACAAATACATCAATTCATGTTTGTTATAACAATATTCTACTTCACTAGCAGTAATTTACTCCAAATCACGGTACAATAAGTCCTATCTTTAGTGAAAAATCTCTAACATAATTTAATAATTCAAAAATATAATTCGACATCTATATAATAAAGTTTTCAATTAAAAGAAGAACAAATTTTGATCAAACAAATAAATTTAGATTTACACAGTTTGATCAATTAAAACTAAATTCATTCAACAATACATGAATTTAGCACTCAACACTAATGATAAAATATAAAATTAACAGAATAAAAATAAAATAAAATAGGGTCAAATCAATAACATTACAAATAATTGGGTCATAATATAAAATTCACAAAATTGAGTGATGAAGACCAAAATTCGAGATCAACCGGGTTATTCTCTAAATTAATAAAATAACTCATAATATTCAACAAAATTCAACAATTCACATCACAAAAATAATTTTTATTCTTCCTTCTACATCAAATATATATTTATTTAAGCAAATTTTCTAAAACCAATTCTCAATGACTACCTAAATTATTAAATTTAGTAATTTCGTACACCAAAACACCATTAATAGTCCCAAATAACAATAGAATGTATAAATTTTACAAATTTCATAGAGAAAAAAAACTTACCTAAATGGGTTGCCTCTGTCCTGCTCCCGTTCAGTCCAACCATCCAACCTTCAATCTGAAGAATGCCTCTTTCCTACTCCGCCTCTTCCACCCGAACAAAAATTTCAACTGAATGCAAGAAGAAAAAAATTGATGGTTTTTAGTTCTGCCGTATTTGGAGTGGTGATGAGTTTTAAATTATGACTCTAGGCATCACATTCGCATTCGCTAAATGCGAACATCTATCTAAATTGTCAGCAATTGCCACGTGTTGATAAGATATTGACCAATCAGATTTTAATAGGATAAAAAGATAATTTCGTATTTATTATACGCTAAAATTTGTTGTTTGCATTCGTAGTGCGAAAAGCTTATGATGACTCACACCTTTTCTCTTCCTTCCGTGTCTGCTTTAATAATTCATATATTAATACATTCGCATTTGTCAAATGCGAAATTTGTGTTATGGCCCACACTTTTCTCTTTCCTTCTGTGTCTGCTTTAATAATTAATATATTAATTTGTTCGCATTTTTCGAATGCGAAATTTGTGTGATGGCCCACACTTTTTCTCTTTTCTTCCGTGTCTTCTTTAATAATTGTTATATTAATTTGTTCGCATTTATCGAATGCAAAAACTTGACCGAATAAAATATTTTTTTTTATCTCTTTTGTTAATATTGTTTGCTTAAGTTGAACTAATTACTTACGTAAACTTCTTCGCATTTAGGAAATGTGAAAACCAATTTGTTCGCATACCAGAAATGCGAGAAATATATAAATTTCTACATATCCAACCCTAAGAACAACTTTTTAAGTTTGGGTATATTAATCTCACCGACCCATTCCATGCTTACGCTGTGCAAAGAGATCGTAGGTGTAGAATCGATCATCATATGCACGTATATGAGGGGGAAAAATGATTGAATTACTCTGTTCTCACTTCATGGGGATAGAAAGTCTTTTTTTGGGATCAAGAAAAGACCATGCTCTGGAAGATGTGGAAAATGATAAAGTTAGCGAGCTTATAGAAGAGAAGAGATGACAACAATAATGCTTTTTTTTTTTTTTCCCCTTTGAAGTATCACAAATTCCCATGAGTTTCATGCAAGAAACTCTAAGAAAAATTCATATTTCAATTTACAAACTTAATGAACTACCGAGTTTCAATCTTCTTGAGTATGTAGTAGCAACCTGCCATGCAGTAAATCCAAGTATGAACATTGAAAGGAATTGTTGATCTTCATTGTGTGCTTCGCCATGTTAATAGCCCACATCTGATTTGTTCTGTTAGTTTCCACTTTTCATTCTAAAGCTTCCGGTGTCATCTCTTGCTGCAGAATTTTGCAAAAATCCTAAATTAACATTTGATTAGCTTCTTCTTTTTTTCTTTTTTTTTTGTTTTTGTTTTTTAGGATTATCTCTATTCCGTATACTCCAATCTCAAAACTTTTATCTTGGTTTTATTCCAAAAAAATTAGCTCACACTAAGTTTTGAGATTTGATAAAAAATAATACACATTTCAAAACTTGATGTGCACTAAATTTTTTGGACAAATAGAGTATTGTAATCTGGAAAAAATAGGGAGTACTTAATAATAAATGTAAACATGTATCATGCGTTCTTTTTTTCCTTTGTTTGTCTTTTTCTTTGGTGGATGGAAATAGAATTAACGAGAAAATCGTCCAGTTCGGTACAAGAGAGAAATTGGGTATAGTCATATTTTGCATATAACATTACAAATTGCTTACTCGTATCTTTGAGAGTGCAGCAAAAATAACTAACGTTCATATTCGAAAAAGGATACCGCAATATAAGGTTTAATCAAAAAAGAAGGAAAAAACTAAAAAAAAAAATAATAAAAAAAAACAAAACAAAACCAAGCAGCAGCTGTTACCAAATTTCGATGACATTGTTAAAGAGATGCAATATGAAGAAATAAACCTGTAGCTTACATATCGGAATTCGTTTTTTATGTGATCCAAAAACAACTAGGAGATCTATATCTAATTTCCTAATCCAAAAAGGAAGAACACACTTAATCCCTGCTTTCCTATAAATAAATAGATCTATGCGTCGCGGATGAATACAATTTTTGCAGTTGCTACAATAATAAAACAACCCACTAGGGTTTCTCCGCGGATTGATCTTTCCGAGCTTCCTCCGCCCGCTTCAACGCCGTTTTCTTATTCCCCTGGAAACATTATAACCACCGACATGGGTTCTCCACAGCCGCGAAACCCTAACGATATTCCAGTTCCTTACACAATTCCACCGTGGAACGGGCTGCCATGCCATCCATATTCTTTAGAGGTTGTTGAAGATGGAGCCATTATTGGCGATTTTGAATTAAACAAAAAGGGCGCATATATGTTTGGTCGTTTAGATTCATGCGATTTTGTCCTTGACCATCCCACAATCTCTCGATTTCATGCGGTAATCCAATTCAGCAGCAACGGAGGAGAAGCTTATCTGTATGATCTTGGTAGCACTCATGGTACATTTATAAACAAGAATCAGGTTAAGAAAAGGGCTTATGTCGAATTGCGTGTTGGCGACGTTGTATGCTTTGGTAAGTCATCTAGGTTATATTTTTTCCAAGGTCCCTCTGAGTTGATGCCCCCTGAGGGTTTTGTATTACGACCAAAGCTCGAAGGAGAATCCATGGACGAGGGTATATCGTGGGGAATGCAAGAGGACGCAATTGAAGAAGACGAATGTGACGTTGATGGTATGATTACTTGGAAAACTTATGAAGGAAAACTAACTGAGAAGCAAGAGAAGACACGCGAAAAAGTTGTGAAAAGGATAGAAAACATTGCTCACTTGAACATTGAGATTAAGGCTATCCGGGCTAAAGGTGGTTTAACACATGGACAGCAGATGCAAATTGCTCGGAATGAGCAAAGGATATCGCAAATCACGGAAGAGCTCGAAAACCTGGAGGAGACATTGAATGAAAGCATTCGGGAGAGTTTCATTGCCCGGAATGGGAAGAGTACTAAAAGAGGTCGGAAAGACGAATTAGATTATGTGAGTGATGAAAATGAGTATTATGATCGGACTAAGAAGAAGAAAGTGATGAGAAACAATCAATACAGACAGCTGAATCGCTTCTTGAGAAGAAAGAAGGGATTCTTAAAGAGATGGAAAACAAGAGGAAGTTGCTTGAACAAGATGATGGCGAAACCGCGCAACCTAATAATGAAGTTGGGGGAGAATTAGGAGATGAACTCGACGCGTATATGTCTAGGGTTTCATCTCAACTTGCTCTTGAGAATGAAGCGAAGCTCCAAAAGGAACTGGCCTCTCTTCAGTCTGAATTGGATAAAGTGTTGTACTTGCTAAATATTGCGGATCCGACGGGCGAAGCCGCGAGAAGGAGAGATTCTGCTGCGAGATCGAGCATTGGGAAAGTAGGATCAGAACCTAGCCTCAAGTCAGTAGGAAGTGAAACAGTTCCTCATGACGCCACAGATGATGCCAAAGATTTGAAAAATAAGGAGGGCAAACTAGAGGTTCAAGATACCACAGAAAATGTTCCCATAAAAAGTACAAGCTAGGAAGGAGAAGAATCCTTTAGAGAAAGTGCTTGATCCTGAGAACCATAATTCATTGATGAGTCTGACTGTATGACTGTTGGTTGTCACATCATTCGTAATGTTTTTTTTTTTTAAAAAAAAAATGTATTAAAGTTATTCATTCGATCGCCGTCTAAAGATAAACTTTCGATAATAATCAAATAATTTGTCTACTTTATATTCTTATTTACCTCCCTTTGTCTAGTAAAATCGATCATACATTCTTTGGACAATTGAATTTTAAAATTAATTAGACTTATAAAATCTACTATATCACCTAAATGGATATCATAAAATCAATGAGACAGATGATTGAGAAATTATTTAGACCTTGGAAAAAATTGATGGAAAGCAAAAGATAGATAAAGTAGATTTTAATCACAAATTTGGAAATTATATGTTTAGATCGGGAAAAGAAAAGCATACCTCTAAATCATGCACTTGCAATTTCAATAATTAATTTCCCTTATTGCAAGATTCTGAAAATCTTGTCGTTGAGTGTCATAATATGGAGGCAAGAGAGTTAGCATTCCCTTAGCTAAGTTCGGAGGTTGAGGATAATTGTCAAGCAACGCAATACAAATTTGAGCGGAGTTCCTCTGATTTCCGAAGATACTACAGAGGACTTAGATACTACAAGCAGATTGGTTATTGGTCCTGAAATGGGAGTTTTTTTTTTTTTTTTTTGGTAAAACTGTAAAGTTTTATTCCTTTGAGTGTAAAAAACTGTACAAATCTGCCCTATTTCTGTTACATCAACTTAACATGATTTCCAATTTTCTGCAAGAAAGCTCTATCTTTCACCTGTTTTGCTCTAGCTAGTTGGTACCGAATCTTCCAGATTAGCTCATTCTTTATCTCTTCAAAGCTGTCTTGTGGATCCATCTTCTGCTTCCCCACTCCCTTGCATTCCTTTCCCTCCAAATGCTGCATATAATTCCAGTGATGCAGGCATGTAATACTCTTTGCCTCACTGGTCTAAACTTCCAGATTGCCAAGAGAGTATCCAACTTCAACTCTTTGATCTCTCTTCTTATCCACAACCATCGTTTCAGTTCAGTTATGACTGCCTGAGCATATTCACATTTGAAAAATAAGTGCTTCACACTATCAGTTTCTTTCAAACACAATCCACAAGTTGCATCTGCCACATTCAGCTACATTTTTGCTAGTCTTTCAGCTGTCAAAAGCCTTTCTTTCCAAGCAAGCTAGCTGATAAAATTATGCTTTGGAAGACTGGCTTTATTCCAAATAATCTTTGAAGGCCTGTAAGTTTCTTTTGCCCCTCTCATCCATCTATATCCACTGTCTGATGTATAAGCTTTACCACCATTGCCTTGCCATTTTCCATCCTTCACCCCGGTCTGCAAAATATCTCTAATCTTCATTAACTTCTTAAGATGCCAGCTACAATCCTGTGGCTGTTTGAACTCCCATAAACTCCTTCCCTTCATATAATATATATGCATCCACCTCACCCATAAGCTCTCCTTTTTTAATGCCAAATCCCAGAGTTGCTTTCCCATCAAGGCCATATTCCATTTCCCTGGTTCCTTGATGTTTAAGCCCCCTTCCTGCTTCTTGCAACACAAGTTTTCCCAGGAGATCAAAGCCTAAATCTTCCCATTTTCCTTCTTTCCCCATAAGAAAGATCTACAAACATTAGTAACTTGCTGAATCACACTTTGGGGAATTTAAAAAATACCTGCCCAGTATGAGTTCAAACTGAGCAAAACTGAATTGACTAGTAACGTTCTTCCTGTATAGGATAAATGCCTTGCTGACCAACTTTTGATCCTTGCTGTGATCTTATCCACCATGATTTGACACTCAGATTTTGTTCAAGGTGTTGGGGAGATAGGCAAGCCCAAATATTTCATTGGAAACTCTCCTACACCAAACTCCATGATATGCTGGATTTCTTGCTCCACTTCTGTTGTCCTGCCTCCAAATACAAGTTTGATTTCCCAACATTTACTGTAAGTCCAGTAGTACTTGCAAACTGAGATAGCACTCGCTTGATCTTTCTTATGGTATTCAAATCAGCTCCACTAAAGATCAATAAGTCATCAGCAAAGCATAGTGAAGAGACTTGCATTTTTGCACAGTATGGATGGTAGACAAATCCACCATTTCTAGTTTCCTCCTTCAGCCATCTCGTTAGATATTCCATCACCAGCACAAACAACAAAGGTGACATCGGATCACCTTGCCTCAATCCCCTTTTGCCTTGAAAGAACCCAGCACTGCTCCCATTTAGATTCAATGAATAAGAGCAAGTGGTAACACATGTCATTATCCAGCCAGCAAATTTCTCTGGGAAGCCAAATTCCTTCAACATTTCCTCCAAAAAACCCCAATGCACTGAATCATAGGCCTTCTTTAAATCAACTTTCATCACACAACTGGGAGGACTTGATTTCCTTCTGTACAACCTGATTAATTCCTGAACCAAGAGGATATTATGCAGGATAAGTCTATTCTGTATAAATACCCCTTGATTTAAGTCACCAGTTCAGGGAGAACACTTCTCAACCTTTTGCATATCATCTCTGAAATGCACTTATATAAAGTGTTGCAACATGATATTGGATGATACTCAGTAGCATTACTTGGAGATTCAGTCTTTGGTATCAAAGAGATCAAAGTGGTATTCAATTGCCTCAATAGTTTCCCTGTTTTGAAGAATTCCAGAATAGCTTCACTAATCTCTTTCCCAATCATAAGCCACATCCTCCTATAGAATCCACTATTAAATCCATCCGGGCCAGCACTTTTATTGACATCAATATCAAATATGGCCTCTTTGACATCAGCACTAGTAAATTCATCAACCAAGGAAACCTGCTGTTCAATAAAGAGTTTGGGACCTGATTTAATTACTTCACTACTGGCTGATGTCCTTTCAACCTCTTTCCCGAGCAAATCCTCCTAGTAATTAAGAAAATGTTCCTCCACTTTAGGCCATTCTTCCACCAACTTCCCTTGTTCATCCTTGTATGCCCTTATTCTGTTCCTGTTTAGTTTTTGCTTTATACTTGCATGAAAGAATTTGGTATTCACATCACCTTCTTGAATCCACTTCTCTTTCACTTTCTGTTTCCAGAAACTAATCACAACTTGACTGCATATTCTATATTCATCATTTAGCCTTTTTTCCTCCTGTTGCCATCTGACATTCAGTGGATCCTGCATTATCTTGCTTTGGATTTCCTCCAATTCCCTCATGCATTCCTTCTCCTTACTTTCTATGTTTGAGAAAGCTTACTTATTTAACTTTTTTAATTGTGGCTTTAGCAGCTTCTGTTTGAGTGCAACATGAAACTGCTTACAACCTGAGACTTTCATCCTCCAACCTTCTTTAACAATACCTTCAAAATCAAGATGTGTCATCCACATATTAAAAAATTTAAAGGATCTCTTATTTCCCTGGACTCCTTCTCCCCATTTGATCAACAAAGGTTAATGATCTGAGATGCCAGCAGGTAATACCTTAGTATGACTCTCTGAAACCACCCATCATTGACCAGTGATCTATCAAATTATGCCATGATCCTCATATTTCCCGTCTGCTTATTAGACCATGTATACTCTCCACCAACTGTATTCATTGGCCACAACTCACAATCTTCAATCATTTTCCTGAATTCATCAGTGTCAGCACTGGGCTCCTGCCTTCCTCCCAATCTGTCTTCATTTTTTATAATGCAGTTAAAATCCCCTGCCATTATCCAGGCTTCTTTTACTCCTTGGTCCAAACTAGTTAATTGCCCCGCCCCCTAAATTGCTCCTTCCCTGATCTGTACATTCAGCATATACCATAGTTAATGTATATTGCTTCCCTTGCTCTTTTACCATACAGTGTATATACTGCTTAGTACTCTTTTCAATTTGCAATTTGTATTCTCCTTTTTTCCACAGAATCAGAATTCTACCTTTCTCCTTATTAATATGATTACTGTGATATTCAAATTCAGGCCACTTTCTGACCAAATTTTATCTACTTTTTCTCCAGTTAGCTTGGTTTCCAACAATCCTATAATTCCAAATTTATACACATAGAGAAAATTTGTTACTTCTCTACGTTTCAGGAGACTATTCAGTCCCTTGAAAATGGGAGTTGATGGCAGCTACAAATAATTAGGGTTTTCTTAGATTAGGGTTTACTCCTGTAGGGGTATTTCTGGTTTTTTATTACTATTAGGGTTTTATTTCTTGTCTTTAAATAGTTAGTTTACGCCTTCATAGTCGTCAGTTGATTTTGATAAATGAAAAAAAATGAGATTTATTCTCAAACCTAGTTCGTTTGATCCACGTGTTGGTGATCGAATTACAAGACTAGTTTAGTTTGATCAATATGTTGCTGATCTAAACTAGTATCGTTTTAGGTTTTCGGTGATTCGACGGACTAAAAAGTTGTTAACCTAGATCGAATTCCAATTGATAGGGCTTCTGCCTGCATTAGTTGGATCAGAGCCGGTTTTTTTTTCCTGGATCGCAATTGGTTCTTGGTCCAAAGTTCAAGTTTTGCCATCCCAAATTTTTCTTTTCCCTTTTCCGGGTGGCCATGGCTTCAAAGAAGGACAAGCAGTTGCACGACGACTTGCGGCAAGAACTCAAGGGAGAATTTGATCGGGATGCAGAAGACTTGGAACTTCGACTTTTTGAAGCCATTCGACGTCGTGTGGGAGAGAGAGTAGCGGCTGAATTCCGGCGCTTAGGGTTCACAACTAAGAACCCTAAAACTGCTTCTCGGGCTGATCATTCGCTGCTATCTCCGGTGGATCGTCGAATGCCGAAGATTCATGTGCACGTTCTTGCTGTTCTTCACGGGCTTTTTGGCGTCGGGAGGTTTGTGTTGACGAGGATAAGTGAGCATGGGAGACCAATATGAGTATCGAAATCCTTGACTTTTCGAGATGATGTTTTTCATTCCTCCATCGACACAATTTGTTCTCGCAAGGAGAAACAAATTGTTGTTG